CAAAAAAAAAAAAAAAAAAAGTACACCTTGGTGTCCTGTTATTTTCATGTATGTATTCAATTAAGTCAACCAAAATCTTTACTAAAACAAGGCTGTTTACTAGAAACTATAAATAAATAAATAATGTAGTCACGACCAAGGCCCTTTATCCTTTTGGACTCCAGGATTGTCTCTTCAAAAGGTGAGGCTGATCATAACCGTAATAAGGAGCTGTCTTGAGGACAAGAAACCTGCTCTGAGTAAACACCCGGTGGGCTATCATCTCCTGGGCACTTTGTCTCATAAGATTGCTGGGTCCAGCCGGGCTTGGTGGCTCAGCCTGTAATCCCAGCACTTTGGGAGGCCGAGGTAAGTGGATTGCCTGAGCCCGCGGGTTTGAGACCCGCCCGGACAACTTGGCGAGACCTCATCTCTACAACAAATCAAAAATTAGCCGGGCGTGGTAGCGCATGCCTGTAGTTCCGGCTACTTGGAAGGCTGAGGCGGAAGGATCACCGGAGCCCAGCAGGTCAAGGCTGTGGTGGCCGGGAGCGGCCACTGCACTCCAGTCTGGGTGACAGAGTGAGACTCCAACTCAAAAAAAAAAAAGATGGCGGGGTCCCATCGATCCTACTTGTCTGTCTCTTGGGCCTGCCCCTCCTCCCCTTCTGCCTAGTTCAGACCCTCCTTCCTCTCAGCTAGGCCTCTGCACAGCCTCCTAGCAGCAGGCCTCCCTGCCCTGCAACCTCTCATATCTCTGCAGCATCCCTCACACTGCAGGAGCTCAGCCTAAACCACTGAGGGCTCCTGCCCCTCTCCTCCCAAACTTAGGCTCTCGCTTCTGCTGACTGCGGGCCCCAGGCTCATCCTAAACTCCAACTTGCCTCTCCCTCCATCTTTGTTCCAGCTGCACTGGGTCTTGGGGGCTGAGTCCATCCCAGGTCTGACGCTCCTGCCCCAAGTCTCCTTCTCTCACCACTTCTGACTGCCAGAAGCCTTCCAGGCTCAGCGCCAGCACTTTGAAGGCGCCCTGATTGCTCCTCCCCACAAGCTCCCTCAACTTCAATTTCATGGCTTCCTTCTACTTGGTCCTTGGCCTCCCTCCAATGCCCGCTCCCCACAAAACTACAGACTACCAGAGAGCAGCCCTCCCAATACAAATCCATCCCGAGTGCCTTCTCTGTGCCAACTGTGCTGCTGGTTCTGAAAAGACCACCATGGACAGACAAAGCCCCTTTCCTCCCAGAGCTCACGCCTCACCAGTCAGCAAAGGGCAAAGCCTGAGGTATGAGAGGACTGACCTGGAGACTCAGGTCCCATCCTCACCAGGCACAGGATCCTTTTTTTTTTTCTTTTTTGAGTTGGAGTCTCACTCGGTCGCCCAGACTGGAGTGCAGTGGCCGCTCCCGGCCACCGCAGCCTCGACCTGCTGGGCTCCGGTGATCCTTCCGCCACAGCCTTCCGAGTAGCCAGAACTACAGGCACGCGCTACCACACCTGGCTCATTTTTTGATTTATTGTAGAGATGAGGTCTCGCCAAGTTGCCCAGGCAGGTCTCAAACCCGCGGGCTCAGGCAATCCACTCACCTCAGCCTCCCAAAGGCGCGGGATTACAGGCTGAGCCACCGAGCCCGGCTAGGCACAGGATCCTTTAGGCACCAGCTTTTGTCTGTTAAAACTTGCAGGCTTGGAGCAGAGGGGGCAGAAGTGAGTGGGCCCAGGGGATGGCATCTTCTCCTGTGCTCCCCCTTCCTCACTGTCTGCCCTGCTGGCTGGACTGGACTGGAATGATCAGGCTTCTCAGACCAGAGGATGCAAAGCAAGCCCAGGAGCCACCCAGGCTCACCTCTGGGCTCAGGGAAGGTGGGGAGTTTCCACTTCCAGAAATTCTGAAGGACCAGGCAGTTGTCCACAGAGGAAGTTTAGCCCTGGAAAGAGGAAAGAAAACACCCTTCTGGCCCTCTGAGCCTGAAGGAACCAAAGTGACCACTAGGAAGATGCTCCGTGTGTGTGTGCGCCCATGAGAGCACAGGCACACACATGCATATGCTGGTGCACGCATGTGACAGCCATGATCCCAGCCGTGACTCCAGCCCAAGTGCCAATGCAAGATGAATGAACATGTGAGTCAAAAAAACCAAACCAAACTAAAACCAAACAAAACAAAAAACCAGCACCCAGTGGAACCTGTGTGCACATACTTCAACCCCTAAAGATATGAAGGCTCGGGTATGTGTGATCCAGACCTAAGCAGCCATCTGGGCAAATTTTCAATGACTGGAAGCTCAGTTGAGATGGCCTTTGAGGTCTCATCCAGTGCCTGAATCTTATGATGCTATCAGGACGATCTGGAGCATATTTGTTCCCCTGCACGCACACAAACACCCACACCCATGAACACACTCTGGTGCTGGTGCTGCCACACCCCTGCCAGCTGCACCACCAACCTCTCAAAGGCAGGCAAGACCCGTCCGAACTGCCTGCAGGCCCGGCCTCTGATCTAGAAAACCAGCCTCTGATCTAGAAAACCAGCCCACCATAATGACCTGGAGAATTTTAGGCAGGTCCCATCAGCTTCAGGCAGGCCTCAGTTTGCGCATCAGTGGACGGAAGGTTTGGATCATTATCTCCAAGGCCCTTCCTGCATTCAAAACAAGGCAGGGTCAGGAAAAAGGCAAATGCTCACGGTTCATCTCTGCATAAGCCAGAGCAAGAGTTTTGAAGGAACATGGGGCTTGTGGTCTGAGGTACAGCAGCTGAGGCTTGGAGACAAAAGGTATCTGGAAGCCCCACTTCAAGAGGAATGCTGCCCTTCCTGCACTTGGGTGGAGGTATCTTCCTGAACTGCACACGCTACTCAGAAATGCTCTAAATAAGAAAGCTCTGACTGAGTAGTTATTCTACATCATGAGGCTATGCTAGGTTGAAGACAGGTGATACACACAATGGGAGGGGCATGGGAAATGTCAAGAAAACCCAGATTTTTCACCCCACACCTTCAGGGTCAAGGCCAGACTCTTTAGATGACTCCAAGACCCTACACCTCTGCCTCTGGTGGCTCACCTCTCATCTGCCACGACCACCCAACTCCACAGTCTGACCACGCCGACATGCTAGAGTGCTTCTTCAAGACTTTGGCCCCCCTCAGTATGCATCCTCTGCCAAGAGGCCTGAGTACCTGCACTCCTTGGCTCACAGGATGTCTGTGCCCCCAGTGAGGCTGTACGATGCTCCAAGGGCCTGGACCGAGTCATTTTAGGCGCCCTCAGGAAAGAGGCACCAGCTCAAAAACTTGTGGGATTGAATCGGACTGTGTGAACTCTACAAAAGTGATTGAAACTTGTAAGATCCCCAGGTGAGATCCTGTCTCTTCCCTCTGCAGAGCAGCTAATGTCCTCTCTTGGCTTGGATGAGATATTTATTCATTTATTTGTTCATTCATTCATTCACTTAGCGGAAGAATCTGAAGTTTAAGAGGTGAAATAAACCAGGCAGAACATCCCCTGCTCTAAGTCTCCTCTCTCTATAAAATTTCATTAGGAATTCAGACTACAAAGCTACAAGATACCACTTCTGTCTTCAGGACATCAATGTAGTAGGCACACACCCATGAAAAAGCCCAGGAGAAAGAACAAAATATTCTAGGAAAATCCCATTAATAATTTTCCATTTGGTTCACTTAACCTTTTGTAAGCATTAGTGGAATGGAGGAATATTACAGGATACACAAAAAGGTGGGGCTGGAGAGTTCCAAGAAATGTTCTCTCTTATCGTAGGTACTAATTTTACTTGAAATTAATTATACATAGCACAACATTTTCCATTTGGGAATCCCTAACCTTCACTCCACCCACCTCGACTCATTTCCAGTGTCTTAGACTGTTGGACAGAAGGCTTCAGAGGGCAGGGATCCTGCCCATCTGGTTTCTCACTGTCTCCTTGGCATCCTGGAGAAGCCCAGGAAATCATCCTTAAAGGAGCACATGAATAAACCAAGGTGTGATTCAATAAACTGACAGTGAGTGGCCCTAAGCAAACTGCTCCTGACCACGTACCATTGAAGGGAGGGTCAGGACCACCAATGAGCAAGCAATAAAACTGCCACCTCAGCTGAGCCAAGCAGAACTAGTACAGTGTTGGGGCACAGATTCCGGGGCCTTGTGATGTCCTTCGAGTCCTGGCTTCTCTACTTGAAAGGTTATGGCCTTGGGCAAGTACTTAGTTCTTGAAGCCTCAGTTTTCTCATCTGTAAAATGAATATAATAATAGTACTACATCCTAGAGCTGCAGGGGAAGATGAAAGGAGGTAATCTCTGCAGAGCTAAGTGTCTGATCACGGCAAAAGCTCCATCTCAAAGCCCTTTGTGAACTAAAAACTGAGCTTCCATATGATCCAGCAATTCCTTTTCTGAGAATATGCCCAGAGGAACATATATCACTCTGATCAAAAAGACACTGGCACACATATGTTGCAGCACTATTCATGGAATAATATTCCAGAAACATGGAACCAATCCAGATGCCCATTGAAAGTGGACTGGATTTTTTTAAACGGCCTTCACAGCAACATGGATGCATCTGGAGACCATCATACTAAGTAAACTATCCCAGGAACAAAGAATACCACGTGTTCTCACTCATAAGTGGGCCCTGATCACTGGTCACCCAAGCACAAGGGTGGGATCAGCAGATGCTGGACACTGCTAGGGGAGGAAGAAAGGGAGGAGGGAGAGGGGACATAGGGCAACACACTGGGCACCTGGTCCACTATCGGGGGGAGATAGGGCCAGCTAGAAGCCCAAACTTCACCTGCATGCAACCTACATATGTAGTAAATCCTCACTTGTACCCCACAACTCTAAATTGTTTGAAAGCCCTTTGGGCCAACACCCTGAATTCCCAACAAAGTCCTGGGATAGGACAAATATCATGAACTGTCTTGTGCGACAGAGATCGCTTAGGTACACGGAGGCTAAGGGACAGCATATTGCTGGACTGAACATGGACCCTGCATCTCACATGCTAGGTTCCTTTTGATTCTGTAGAAAAAGTCCAGTGCAAGCTGGGCGCTCTGACTCCCAACCCTCCAAGGCTCCATTTCGATGGCTGCTTGAATGCAGGCAGAAATGCTGAGCTGTGCCTATTGCTCCCAAGGTGTCCAGGAGCCCAAAGCCCTTGTCAGGATGAGGATGCTTTCATATTCCATTCAACCCACTTTGAATGTCTCCTGGTCCCCCTCGCCCCGACAAGCCTTCCTGATGGGCAACCCAGGTGGGCCAGCCGGATCTGAACATCTAGGAGCGAGGCTATGCCCCAAAACGGGCAGCAGGATGGATGGACAATTTTGACATTGATCTTTGCATTTTTCTCTCTTCCAACAAATCTACAGTGACTGTGTGTAACACTTATAAGGATAAAAATATTATTTACAAGTAAACACAAGGCTTTATCTGAGATGAGCAGGGAAAATGAAGCCTAACAGTGATGGACGAAGTCAGCTTGTTCTTCAGTGGCCAGTTTCTGTGTGTGCACGACTCAATGGAGAGACTTTGTTAGCCAACAAAGAGGAGTGAAATTGATAAGCAAGCCCTGTGTTTGAGGGCTACTGGGAAGTCACTTTGCATACCTGCAAAATTCCTCCCGGTGGTAGAAATCTCCCCGTTTGCATTTCATTGCTGTGAATCATTTGGTTAAAACGAGCATGTTGCTGGAGCGATGACTCAGTTACGAGCTAATAACACCGTGTTAATTAGTGTCTCAGCTCCCTTCCATACTCAATGCCATGCCTACGTAAAGAAACCTGAGGTGTCTTCGCCCAGCAAAAAGACACGCGCTATCCAATGGGCCAGGAAGCGTCCTTCTGATTTTGCCCAGGGTTGGCCCTGGCCTGAGCCTCGTGATCTCCTTACCTTTGAAACAGGCTGCTGAACTGGAGGATGTGGGCGGAAGCCAACACTCCCAGTACGTCATCCATGCTCATCTCCACCTCGCTCATATAGAGGTTCTTCAGGGCCGTGACAAAGGCTGGGGAGGCAGCAGCCGAGGGAGTGGTCAGGTGAGGCTGTGCACACAGGGCACTACCCCCGGCCCTCACTCATTCCTGCCACTGGGTGGGCAGAGATGCCCTTTGAGAAAACGCACCTGGGTGCAGACACCAACCCAGGAAGCCCATCATCTGGGTTCCCAACCTTCCCAAAGGAGTTGAGAATGAAGCTAAAGAAAGTTCAGCTTTGCTGGGGTCGGTGGCTCAGCCTGTCATCCAGCGCCTTTGGGAGGCTGAGGTGAGTGGATTGCCTGAGCCCGCGGGTTCGAGACCCGCCTGGGCAGCAAGACCTCATCTCTACAATAAATCAAAAAAATCAGCCGGGCGTGGTAGCGCATGCCTGTAATTCTGGCTACTTGGAAGGCTGAGGTGGAAGGATCGCCGGAGCCCAGCAGGTCGAGGCTGCGGTGGCTGGGAGCGACCACTGCACTCCAGTCTGGGCGACAGAGTGAGACTCTAACTCAAAAAAAAAAGAAAGTTCAGCTTCTGCTGAAAGGATCCTCCTTTAAGCCCGTTCTCAGTCTGTACCTTGGGGTCACCTCAGGGGTGAGGTGTCTTGGGGTTCTCTCCTAACCTGGGGTCTGTGGTCTGTGACTACCCAAATATATGCAGAATGTTGTATGCAGGTAGATGCATTTTTTCCCCCTGGAGATGAAATATAGTTTATAGTAGATTCTCCTTAGAGTCTGGGGACTTCACAAAAGGTTACGGACTCCTGGAAAGACCCAGAATAATTTGACAATTCAGGAACTGAACTGCCGTGGCAGAGAGCCAGATGGACTTGGTTTATTTCAAGTCTTACATTCATCCAAATAGAGCTGCTGCGCCACCAGAGTGCTCTGAGGAGAAATGGTTGAACCAGTGCTGAAGTGGATTGTTTCTTCACCTAGAGGTTCCTAAACTCATGCCATCATGTGAGATCACACATGTTGCACTAACCAAATTCTGTTTCTGGGTGTTTGGAAAGAGTGAGCTTAAGAGAGCACCTTGGGAGTGGCCTCTGCTGCTGGAAGCCAGCAGTTGGGGGTGGGGGTGGAGGTCCTTGGTGGGAAGGGGCAGGTCCAGTGCTGTTTGGCAGCAAGGGTGGGCCTGAGGGCTTCCCTGGGTGGGTGAGCTCGGGTCTTCTCCTTGGGTCTGTGTGAGAAGCCTGCTACTTCTCTCCACCGCTGAATCCCCTTCCCAGTGACAAGTACCCCCTCACGCCCTTTCCCAAGGTCAGGCACCACTCTTCAGCTACATTCCCCTTCTTCCTTTTCTCCAAGTCACCCAGGCCTCTTGGCTCTTCTTTCCTTGCACGTTCAGGCATGTTCACTAAGAAAGCACTGAACACTATGTGCTGCTTGTTTGTTGTATTTTGTTGTTTGCTCATTTTTTTTTTTTTTTTTTGAGTTGGAGTCTCACTCCATCACCCAGACTGGAGTGCAGTGGCCATTCCCGGTCACCGCAGCCTCGACCTGCTGGGCTCTGGCGATCCTTCCACCTCAGCCTTCCGAGTAGCTGGAACTACAGGCGCGCGCTACCACGCCCGGCTAATTTTTGATTATTGTAGAGATGAGGTCTCGCCAAGTTGCCCGGGCAGGTCTCGAACCCTCGGGTTCAGGCAATCCACTCACCTCAGCCTCCCAAAGTGCTGGGATTACAGGCTGAGCCACTGAGCCCGGCCTGTTTGCTCATTTTTAACTCTGGGAGAGCAGCTTATTCAATGGTATTCCCAGAGTGTGAAGACAAGCATATACATTACCAGCTTTAGTGACCAGTGGATCATTGATCTTCAAGGAGATAATTATCCTCTTTACTGGGGATCGTTCTTTGATCTTCCCAGGTGCTTGAGCTAGTAAAGGAAATTAGATGGCGAGGAAATTTGATGAGGATGTGTGGTATGCTAAATGTGGTGAGGTCACAGTGGGAAGCACCATCGCCCTCTGCACACCCTTGATCTTGGCATGGGTCACACTACCTGTTTGTTTGTTTCATGGAGGCATTGATAAAATCATTATTTACTTTAATAGCATAAGATTCAACTTGCAAGAAGTTGCAGAAATAGTACAGAGAGTTTCCTATGTGCCCCTCACCCAGCTTTCCTCGGTGGTCTTGCATAGATAGCCCTTATGCGTTGTCAAAATGGAAAGTGTTGGCCAGGCTCGGTGGCTCAGCCTGTGATCCCGTGCCTTGGGAGGCTGAGGTGAGTGGACTGCCTGAGCCCGCGGGTTCGAGACCCACCTGGGCCACTTGGAGAGACCTCATCTCTGCAATAAATCAAAAAAATGAGCTGGGTGTGGTAGCGCGCGCCTGTAGTTCCAGCCACTTGGAAGGCTGAGGCGGAAGGATCGCTGGAGCCCAGCAGGTCGAGGCTGCAGCGGCCAGGAGCGGCCACTGCCCTCCAGTCTGAGTGACAGAGTGACACTCCAACTCAAAAAAAAAGACAAACAAATGAAAACTGTGGGCCAGGCTCAGTGGCTCAGCCTGTAATTCCAGCACTTTGGGAGGCCGAGGAAGAAGGATTGCCAGAGCCCAGCAGGTCAACGCTGGGGTGCCTGTGAGCATGTCACTGCACTCCAGCCTGGGTGACGGCATAAGACTCCAACTCAGGAAAAAAAAAAAAGGAAACTGATGCTCACTGCATTTTATATATTGGTTACTAGTGCTTGCGTGTTCTCTCTCTCTCTCTCTCTTTTCTGTCTCTCTCTCTCCCTCCCTCCTCCCCCACTTTCTCTCATTCGACTGTGAGCAGTTTGAAGGCAAAGAGCAGACCTCAGTCGCTGCACCCTGAGCACCTGGCAGAGCCGACACGAGGTGGGAGCATGGCGACCACTCACTGAAGGAGGAACGTGGGACTGAGGCATCCACCCAGTGGTTCTTGACGCTTTGCCCCAGAGAGCACCAGACTGAAGACCCCTGACACTGAGGACTTCCAGAAGGAAGCAAAGAAATTCTTTGCTACCCAATCACATCCACTCAGAGTCATTCTAGAAAGTGAATTACAGTGTGGCACTGCTCTCAGGTCTCCAGCAGCACCCCACACCCTTGGCACATGAGCCACGTGGCCTGCAACTTCTGCCCACTGCTCTGCCCACTGTGCCCCCAACCTGTCTCCTCTTGACCTGCTCCCTGGGCAAAGTGGGGTTTCCACCCTTCCCCTCTGGCATCAGGGCCCTGTCACATGTCCCCCCTCCGAGAGGCCTTTCCTGACTCCATACTCCCACCAACCACATCCCCCATCTCCACTTCCCCCACCAACTAACTTTATTCTTCAGAGATTGGAATCAACACCAGCTATTACACCATGTCTCCATTGGGCCATACCCTGCTGGGCAGCTCAGTTGAGATGGCTTACCCACCTCCCCACCCCCCGGACCCACTACCATCTTGTACACACTGGTGCTAAGTAGCTACTGGCTGAATTCTTGCAGTGGTAGATTCCATCACCAGGGAGCTCAAGGATACAGTTAATGGAGAATGACATGAGCCAGGAGCCAAAAAAATCTGTCACACTTTGCAACTACAAAGACTGAAGAGGAAAGAAAGCATAGAGGTCCCTTTCCCTCAGTCTCTACCCCACTATCCTCCAGCACCTGGCTCTGGGGCTCACATAAAGCACCAGCTCATTGAGCATCTACCAAGTGCCAGGCATTATTCCAGCTCTGGGTCACTTTCCTCTCTGGCATGACCACATGGCCTTCCATCAGCTCACACTAGCCTATCGTCCAGTCCATTGTGGGAGTAAATGGGAGAATGCACATGAGTGCCTGGCACATAGTAGGCACACGGGAGGTGGCAGTTAGTCTAATAGCATACGTTGGGCTATTTATTGTGCTTTCTCACCACTTGGGGTTTGCCTGTCTGCCCCTCTAGATAGTAAGCTTCTAGGAGACAGGAATGAAGAGGAAGGAGGGAGAGAGGAAAGGAGGACGGAAGGAAGGAAAGAAGAAAGGAGGAAGAAAGAGAGGAAGGGAGGGAGGGAACAAGGGAGGAAAAAGGAAGGAAAGAAAGAAGGGAGGGAGAGAGGGAAGAGGAAGGAAGGTTGGTTATCAGCTAGGCCAGAGTAAGTGGAAAGTGGACGTTCAACATTCTGTCCAGGTGAGGTAAAGCCCCAGAATCAGATAGAAAAGTAATAGTTTTTTTTTTTTTTTTGAGTTGGAGTCT